GCGGTCGTCAGAGGACAAACCCCAAACCCACAACCCTACACCCCAAACCCTAAACCCTAAGCCCCAAACCCTAAACCCTATCGGTAGCTGCACTGCCCCGCCTGGGGCAATCTCACCGCTGCTCTTTTTGGTCCTCGAGCAGACGAGTTCCTGCGGAAGTCGATGTCCTGTGCAAGGCTTGCGTTGACACTCCTCTTTCTCTCTTCAAAAAGTGGAGAGAGAAGTTAGAGATGTCAAAACATTGCTTCTGAGCTCTGCATCAGCAAAAGGTTGACTGGCCAGCCTTTCAGGCTGTCTTGTAGGTACGAACTTCGTTCGTGCCAGGGATCTTTGACCCAATTGTCTCACGCCAGTTGATCGCTGCTAGGTAATTCGCGAAGTCCTGCATCTTGCCACTCTTGGAAGCATTGTTCTTCACCCAGGTGAGGTAATCGATCGTGCTCTGGTCGGTGTCTGCAGCGAGCTCGGAGTAAGAGGCTTTTCGGTCCTTCACTTTCGGCAGAGTGCACATGGTATTGCCCCAGTTGGTGAGGCTGCCCACTCCTTCTGGCAACTCCACACCCGCGGACGAAGTGGTAGCTGAAGAAGTCTTCACGGAGCGCTCTGCGGCCGTCTTCTTGGAGATGTAGCCTTCTGGAGGGGCCATGGCTTCCTGAACTTCTACCATCTCGAAGGCGCTGAAGTCATCTGACGGCTTAGCACGCTTACTAGCATCGGTCATGGCACCTTGGGTCACAACAGGCACCTCCTGCTCAAGCAAAGCTGGATTGCGAACTGCAATGTGGCCCTCAGCAGCGAGGTGACGAATCCACTGCTGCAAGTTTCCAGTCTCCGGAAGCGACACCTTCGGAAAGCTCACAGAGGCTAGGACGGACATGGCCAGACAGGACTACAGAACAGAGCAGGGCGGAAGGCTACAGCAACTCTGAGGTCCAACAACTCTCCTCGGAGAGTAGCGTGTGCGAAGGATGACCCTCATACATCCGTAGCACTGCAGCTAAGCAAAACAAAACCCCATGACTGTACAACCCGAAGGCGACAACAAAACACGATACCCCAAGTGAAACTAACGGTCACCTACCACTAGTCATTCTGGCTTCCGGCGAGCGCCGCGGGAAGCTCTAAGGCGATCACGCACTACTTTCTTGGTTTTCAGAACTTCAGCTTCTGATGACAGTTGATAGGTGCCAAGCTCAAGCACTGCACGCAGGAGATCAGCAGGATCGGCTTTATCTTTGGTCAATGCGTCACAAACCATAAGCTCCGTCGGGCACCAGCGGACTTTCAGGCCGGCTCGCTCCATACTTTGCTTGATTATCGCGATGTCTACGCAAACCCTCTTATCTTGCACACCGGACAACGATGACAAGGTGTGAAGATGATCGTAAAGGCTCTTACAGTCAGTGACCCCTACGATGGGTGTTGCACGGAGTTGCGGCTGACATTCTCTCAAATCGAAATGGCCAGAGCGAGCCTCAGCCAAAAGCAGACTCATCCACTCTGCGACGGCCGATGCGCTGGAAAACGCCTGGGCTTCACCTCCTAGTGTGGACGGAACAACTCGATGGAGGCGGTAGGATTTCCAATGGAAAGGGCTCCAGGGGGCAGGGTTGTTATCTAGCAGCTCTTTACCTGCGAAAGCCAACACATACCCGGCTTGAGTTCTTTCCTCCTTAGCGTTGCTCCAGGCGGCATCGCTGTGCATACAGATGCAGAGATTATCAAAATCGATACTGCGAACCCTGACCTCAACCTCGTGGAACTGGCGGGCACGCTGGACGAGCTGATTTGCATACAGCAGGTCAGCTACGGTGGGGTTTGGAAACGCCTGTTGGGACATCGAGACTTGCACCGCAAGGTCGGGGCGCGTTTGGTTAGCCAGCCAGTTGGCGGCCCCATTCAGGCCACGGAGTGCTGAAACCTCCTTGGGGGTGGCAGGAAGGTGCCTCTGCGCCGCTCTGGCTTTAGTAAGGCTTACAGGGCGGAGGTGTTGAGAGTACTCCTTCTGACTAAAAGTGATCTCGAAGGTCGTTGGGTCCTGCGAATAGGTCGTTCCGCAGAACTCACCGGCACCAACACGCCACTTACGGAAAGGAAACCTTGCCCTGAGCTGAGCGATGGCTTTCTGGTACGCAGGTCCTTCTCCTCCAGTAATGGAGTCATCGACGTGAGCTCCGAGGATGCCACTCAACTCTTTTGTGTCAGGCTCACGGAAGAAGTAAACGCAGTTGTCAAACTGCGATCGCTCAAAACCTGCGGCTCGGGCCTCAGCATCAAAAGTCTCCCACCACCAGAAAGGTGCGTCATTAAGTCCATATACATTACCCGTGACCTCAATGACATCCTGGGGGTCTAGGCCAGGGATACCTCCCTGAGGCTGCCTAGCGTATAAAGGGCGATACTTGTTCTTGATGGCACCTGCCTCCAAAAACGCTCCCTTCACGTCACCCAGACACATCCGCCACCTCTTGGAGGCCAGAACCTGGAGCAAAAGAGCTCGTGACAACTGGGACATGGTTGGAGAGTGGCATGCTCCATCCAAGACCTTAGTACGAAAGTCTGGGTCAAGATGGCCCTGCAAACACCAGCGTGCTTTGATGCGCCGGTCTCCGTCTTCCTGCTTTTCAGTGATGACGAAACGACTACCGATAAAGCGGTCAGCACACTGACTCCTGATACGCTCAGCTTCGGCGCCGCTGTGGATTTTGACTGCGGGTTTAGACAACATGGTACACCATTCAGTGCCTTTGGCCTCCTCCACGCTTTCCTGGAGCTCCGGGGGGTTCCCGGTGGCTGGCAGTTCTTTCTGGAGACGCTTTTGCAGGAAGCCGGCAAGAAGAACCTCTACTTCGGTAGCTGACGGGTTGGCAACTCGCAACTGGTCCATGGTAGCCTGACAGAAAAGGGCCTCAGTCGGCTCGTCTCGGGTAGTCGCAGCCTTCAGGGTCTCGGGCGTTGAGCTTGCTACTCGTTTGAAGGCGGGCTCACGGGGGCTAGGGACTTCAGGCTCGGATGAAAGTCGCGACGCTGCCACGTCACCATCGGGAGTGACGACTCGGCCTTGGGCCTGTGGATCAGACAAAATGCGCGGAATCACTTCTTGAAGCATTTCCGACAGGTCTTCTTGCTGAAAACTAGCAGGCCGAACCAACTCTAGCTCACTAGGGCGGTGCTTCCTTCGAGTCCGGAAGCGCACTGGTGCGTACTGCGGTGGGTCTGGCACAGACTGACTTGCAGCGCTGGGCTCTTCGTGCGACTGAGTGGGATGGCTAGCTTCCCAGAGCTGTGCCGCAGTCTGACCAGCAGTTCCCTCTGACGGCGCGGATACTGAGAGTGGATGAGCAGTAGGAAGGGGAGGAATGCTCTCTTCCGGCAGAGGAGGAAACTCAGCTCCTGTGAGGTCAACAAGCTGGTTTTGCGGGAACCGACCTTTATCGAGGAGCTGACGCATTCCAAGTAGCTCGCGACTCTCAGCATCTACGGCCTCGGGTGGAGGCTGTTCTTCAAAAGTGGCATGCCGGAGCTGCTCCGGCGCACACCGTAGGATGGAACGGCGATGCGCAATCACGACGTTGTGTCCGACCTTCCCTAAAACCAAAGCCGGCCCATACCAGCGGAAACCCCTGACTATTTTACCTTTCTCTAGTTTCTGGCGACGCCAGTACGCAACCCACTGACCGGACTCAAAGTCGCGACGGAGGCGTGGACGGGCACGCAGAGCCTCACGCAAAGCCTTATTGTCCTGGGCGGCCACAACAGCAGCACGGGCCGCCTGGCGCACGCGAGCCTGTGCTTCAACAGCAGGTTCTGTGAGCACTGCGTCGTTTGCTACGGTACTGGGCGAGTCTTGCAAGAGGTCGGCTGGAATGCGGGGGTTTCTGCCGAATACAAACTGGTAGGGGGAGACACCGGCAACATTTAGCATAGCATTCTTAGATGCTACAGCCTGCGTGAGGCACTCTCGCCACTCTGCTTCTGACTGCGGACGGATCTCAAGGAGAACTTTGTCGAGGATCGTGGCAAGCAGGCCGCCGTGTCGCTCTACTTTACCTATTTGCCAATGTGCTTCAGCAGCTATGTGACAGACACGAGTCCCCTCATCTTCACAGGCTTGGCACAAAGCTTCACTTAGATTAGGCTGCGACGGGTCTAAGACAAGGACTTGCGGCACGCCTGCCCAGCTCAACCAAAACTGCGCATACGCACTGCGGATCATCTCCCCGGTATCACGGCCAGGCAACGGAATCACCTGTTGGAACGAACTGCCATAATCCACTATGTTCAGACAAGGAATCTTCGAACCAACCTTCCAGCCCTGAAAATACTTAACATCCATCCCGATGCGGTCGTTGAAACCTTCGGTGGAGGCAGGATTCGCAGGCACTGCCTCGGCGGGGCGTTTACTCGCCTCGCACGTGGGACAAGTGAACCGACTGGCACGCTGAAGAGCATCTTCCGAAGCACCACTATTTCTAAGAACCCGCAGGAAACAGGCTCGGGAGGGATGACCTAGGTTGTTGTGGAGCTTCTTGAGGGAGAGCCCTATGGGGTCTAAGGGAGATTCACTAGCTACTGGAGGCTTTGGTGGCTCAGCAGCGGTGTTGCTACCTTGCTCAGACAGCCTTTGCTCACCGGTCAGGCACTCGAAGCCAGACAAGTTCACACACTCGACGTCCTGCAGCAGGGCATACAAACACTCTTCGGGGGTCCCAACGACGGCTTTAAGGAAAGACCTTGCGAAGTCGGCACTGCACTTCCCGTGTTCCTTCGTGCTCTGGTGACAGCAGGTCCTAAGGTCAGGGGAACTACAGACTAAACCGGAGGGTTTAACACTACGGGGATCCCTAAAACCAAAGGCGTCAACCTTACTACGGCCGTACTTACGTACTAGAGCCTGCACTGGTGCAAATCTCCACAGGGATGAGCTCTGCGGGTGCTCAAACAGAAACTTACCACCACGCTTCAGTTGTTTGTGACACTGTTCGGCAGCAAAGCGTGCCTGGACTCGCGCCTCGTGAACCAGCTTGGCTCGCTCAACGGCTGACATCCTGGACGTGTTTAGGCTATGCCAATCACTCATGTGCTTGCAGGGGGGGCGCGCAACTAGGAGTTCAGGCCTGGTTCTCTCAAGCAGCCTGTCTACTTCCCTTTGCACTCGCAAATCCAACAGATCCCAACCCTGCGTAACATCGAAACTAAGACCCCTCAAACCCATCCGTTCAGCCTCACTCTGAAACCCCACAGGCGAGAACAGCTCTGCCACAGCAAACGCGCTCTCGGACACGTCGTCCTGGTGACAAGGTCTACGCTTCCACTGGGTCAAGAGCTTACGGGAGTCTCTTTTCTTAACCGTGGGTTCTCTTAAGGACTTAGTTTGAGGCTGTGGGTTGGGCTGAGGCTCTGCAGAGCCCTCTGCTGCAAGGGCCTCCGTGGCGAGCTCAGCGGGAGTAGC